GCTTTCCCCAAAGCCCCTTCCAAAGAAATCAGTGGTCTGAAAGTGTACTATCTTGGTTAAAAATCCAGAAAGAGCATTTAGAAGGCTGCACAGCAATCTGGCTGCTTTGATGACTGACATACAAAAGAAGATCCTCCTTACCTATTCCTAGTCTTCGGTAGGGTGCCAGGCATCCCAGTGTCATGATGTACAGTCTCTTCTGGTTCTGGGAGTGATCCACCCTACAGCACACTGCTCCCACTGCAATATCATTGAAATAGGCTGCCAGGGAGGGAAACAAAGTGTTATCAGTCACAAGTCTCAAACCGTACATACAGCTCCCTCATTTACGCCCTGTATCTTCCTTCCCTCTTGCCAATTCTCCCATCCAGATAAAATATCATACACTGTGGCTTAACACTTGGAGTGAAGTTACCAATGGTGCTCTGACACAGTGGTTGGCTTATTACAGTTCAAACCAACTAGCAGTGACATCAGGAGGTAAGCACACATATCTCAAGTTTTCTGCTGTAACAGAAAACATGCCTATTCCCAGTAAAATGGAATCTATTTAGAACACAAACCCTCTGAGGTTGGGAATGTGGCTTTTAGAGCTATCCAAACAGTTATTTTTCATTATGTAAAACAACAAAATACAAGGATTGGCTATTCAAAACCATTATGGATAGCAACGATGACCACTTCTGATACCATAGCCCACAATTACTGGCAAGAACATTTGTACCTAATTTGGCTAGTTCGCCAACCTCCAGTACATCCTTGTAGAACTTGTCATTGTAGCTGACAGGAAAAATGACCTGGTTTAGCCTCTTCAGCTGCTTAATGTTGTGTGGCGTCACATCTCCCAACTCGATCCGGCTACTGGAACAAATCAAAACATGCTTAACATCTGACACACTGCAAAATTTCTAAGGACACCAAAAATTAATTTTATTTATGCTTAGAGAACTGTCCCACCTAATAATCAGTTCATTACATATTTACACTGCAACATTCAACCCATATAATTAAGTCTTCTGTTGGTGGCTGATTTAACTCCCAAACCCAATTTCAGTTGGTACTATACAGTCAGAAGTTTCTCAGGCCACACTTAGCGCTGACGTACCATGGTATATGTGTGGTTTTATTGAGTGGGAGACAGGAGAGCACTAATCTCTGTAGGATTATTTGCTTTAACTTTATCCCATTAATTTCCTCACTGATCATCAGGATCACAGGGAGAAAAAAAAAAAAAAAAAAAAGAAAAAAGAAAAAGATGGGAGGGTCAGGAGGCTAGAATACAGACCAAGAAAATTAAATCCTTATTCATGCTTCAAAGACAACCTTAATTTTACCACCTATCAACATAAAGCTTATGCTTAGACAAAGATTAAGTCATTACTAGGCATCTGTCTCTAAAAAGCAACAATTAACTTATTAAGCCTGTGTGCCACTCTCAAGGCAATACACGTATCTATTGTGATCATCACTGAAGTCATTCTTCTTGCTGAGAGCAGAATCAGAGTCTTAAAACACCAGTACTGACTGAATTATATTCAAAAGAAACAGAGCAAGCCTCTCCCTTTTCTAAGACTAACTTCCTGACAGAAACACTACATATATAGAAGCAAATAAAAAAATTAGGTGCTCATATTCCCCAAGCCAGCTTCTTGGGTGCAGGTAGACAGTTTTAACGAGGACTACAAGAATGAAAAATAAGAAAACCAACATAATAAAATTTTTTTGCCAAATGGTCAGCAGAATACCTAGGCAGGTACAAAACCAACACATGCCAAGTTAGAAACACACACAATTCTAGGTTCATCCCAGCCTTGTTTTACTGAATACATACAGGTAACCAGATTGTTTTCTGCCCAAACAGTGGTGAACACACTGTTTGACTTTTTTTTTTTTCCAAAAAGTCAAATTACGTTTTCAAAAGACAGCTTTCTAAGATCCTCGTACACCAGGCTTCAAAGTTCGTTCTAGTAACATGCACCAGCTGCTTTCCATCCCCAATGCCTCTTTTCCCTATGCAACTTGTTTTTTCATATAGGTTGATGCCTAGGACACAACAGCCCAGATTAACTTACATAATACAGTGAAACAATGAAGAGATAATAACCAACAACGTTTTTCTTCAAGAACTGTACCAAACAATGTAGAGTATGGTCTGTTTCTGCTTTATTAACTGACCTTGATTATATATTAAAACTCCTTAAACGATTAGTACTCCAGATATCATATTAGTTTTAGTTGTTGCTACCAACTATGGGTGATAAATATACAGTGCTTTCTAGGCATTGTACTGCAGCCTACAAAACTATCAGAAAAAGCTATAGGAATAACGTTTACTTCAGGAAGTGTAACTTGCCCTCACACCCACTTTCTGCTTTTCTTTTCCAGCAAAGAATACAGTCTTCAGTTCTGCAAAACTATTTCAACCTTATGTGTCAAGGATCACCATTGCCCACTCTCTGGTATAACACAGACCAGACAATCTCCCTAGTGAGCCTGACAGAAACTAAACAATTTCTAAGTAGGGCCTGCCTTTTAGAGAACCATCTAGCATTAACTAATGGATTGTTGATGATTTTCTAGTTCTCCATCAGATTAATATGTTCCAGTTAATTGTTCTAACTACTTAGAATTAATGGATGGCATTTACATTACTGAACTTTGCTGACTCCAAAGTCTAACATTTCGTCACACATTTGCTAAGGAGATTAAAAAGCCCTATGACATCAAGCATGCCATGCCAGTATGGGAGCTTGCAAATTGTTCCAGGCAGCTCTTCATCTTACCGCTTCCACACTGAACATGTCGATCTTTTTCCCCTCATCAGTGCAAGAGCAATTGCTAAGCCATGAATCCTTGTAGTTTGCTCCTGAGCTCTGCCCACTTGTAAAGCAATCTCTTGAGAGACATCTCACTAGAACTGGACAGTATGTTCTCCAATAGTGATCTCAACAATGACGGAAGCAACAGTCTCCATATTCTTGCATCTCATCCATGTCAAGATACCCAGGCATACTACAAGCAACAGCAATGGGATATATTTCTAAAGTTTCTAGCTATAAACCACTACATTGTGCTGAAATAGTCTGCAACATCTACCTTCCATGACTCCCATCACCACCAGCCTTTTGTTTCACAGCCTTTCCCATCTTCTAGATTAGTTTTGCTCTCAGTATTAAGATTTCTTTCTTCATGTATCACTGCTTGTGCAAGTCCCTTTGATAATTATATTCCAAACAAAGTAAGTACTGAGCTAGTAAGGATGATCTCCTCACACCACAGAAGTACTCCCATTGTAAACAAGCACACTATCAAATGATAGTAAAGTTATTAGATGGTGGGGTAACTGTAATACTTGTTTTAGGCCCAGCTTAGCACAGCTGTTCAGCCTAGCATGGCAAGGCTTCTTCAGGCATCCAGAAGGGAAGTTGTGCCCTTCTCACATCCCAGCCAGCAGTGCTGCTACCTTTTCTCGCAAAGGGTAGGAATAAAACCGTGGCATGTGGGTTCCTGGGTGTATTTGCGTCTGGAAGAGAGTTTTGCTGGAGTAGAGGACCTCAGTAATCTCATACTAGGAGTGAGGAGAAGACCCAGCAGCCTCTTTTGCTGCAGTTTGCATAAGGGTGGAAAACAAAGAAAGCTAGTCTCCACTGCCCAGTTAGATCAGATTAGCTGCAGAGAAGGAGGTCAGTAAGGGAAGAGAAAAACCTCACATTCACACTCAGTCCCTTGAAAGCCTAGAGTTCTTGTCCAAAAGATTTAATTGTGTATTAACCTTGGTGATAGTTTTTGTATCAGCAGATCCAAGCTTCAGTAGATCAGTAACAGTAGCATGAACTCTTATGATGAACTGATGGCAAAGCTGTTATAGAGCAAGTCCCTCTTTATACTTGAGCAACAATCTCTGACATAGACTATTATCAGGCAGTGTGTTTTCTAATATTAGTAAATAATTAATTTTAAAATAATGAAGCAAGAAATCAGGCATTAGAAGACAGTCACTATGGAATACCTCTGATGACAATGCAACAGGACAAAGATATATTGTCAGGGGCAGCCAGGACAAGATGGCTGAGAAAGAGGCCATGGCCAGAAGATGGACCTCCACCAAGAAGGTTTCAGACAGGGAACAAATAAATAAGTGCAGAAGCTGAGTCTAAGGCTGCTGGTGGCTGCTGAGCCACAACATCACCTCTGAGGTTGGCATCAGGACAGAGAAACAAGTTCCAGTAGTAGGTGGCTAAAACGTGCTGTTGACAGATCTCTTAGAGCCCTGGGGGTGTCCCCCTATATCTCACACCCCTTGCCACATTCATTGCTGCCTCCTCCCATCTCCTTCTGCCTGCCTCCTGTGCTCTGTCACTAGCTATTGCCTTGTTGCTTGAGAGTTGCACCAGTGATTTATCCTGGAGGATGACAGGAAAAAAGTTTGAGAAACACTGCAGGAAGCATAAATCAATATGCTAAATATGTCCATTTAAATAGTATGTACTCAAACCATAAACTACTTTAGTATATAGCACTAGCTGATTAAATCAGCACCACATCTATTACACACAAAAACATTTAATAAGCAAACTAAATGAGGACATGGAAAGGAAGACCCACATCATGAGAGTTCATCACTTTGCCCGAGGACAGCGTGGCAAAAGTGCCACCAAGGCCTTGAGTAAAAACATGAGGAAGCTGGCACTGCCGCCGAAAGCAGCGGTCTTGCTGTCCCTGAGCCACTCATTTCCATCCTCTTGCTGGCACAAATATTTGTGCAACAATGTGGTGAACCAACCCCAATTAAAATTAACCTAGCCAAAAGAAGAAAAGTTTAGTTTTAACCCACATCAGTCCCCTGATTGGAGTTTTCTGCCAGCATAAAGAAGAGAAAAAAAGATTGCCTGAGGCAGAACTGGTAGGTTCTTGAGCAAAAGTGCCAGCCTACTCCAGTTTAAAGTGGAAGTACTGTGCAAGAACAGCACAGGGGTCATTTTTGTGCTACATCTTATAATTTACCAAACAACATGCACTTTGAACATAAGGACTTAAAACTACCCCAGCCTCAAGAGATCCAAGACAAAGCACCTGTAACAAAGGACACAAAATGGTCACTCCTTTCTTTTCACTGGAGTAATGGAAACAGCTTTGGGGTTTTGTTTGTTAGTTAAATAGCTATTTACAAGTAGACCAGCTTCTTCAAGTCACCTCTCAGCCAAATCAGTAACATCAGTTTACTAAATCAGCTAAGGTCTGATTAGGCCAGAGCTGTGCATTCCAGCTCAGTATAGGCTGACCAGAAATACCTATCCTCTGCTGTTGCAAAGAGAAAAAAAAAAAAACAAAAAAACCCCAAACAAATCCTGAGCTCAAATTAGCATATGGAGAACAAAGATGTGTACAGGGCCTGAAGTGCCCAGAAGGGACATGCCTTAACAGATTATTTTATTCTATTATTCCAATAATATTCATAAGAAGATAACACGCTTATTACTGGCATCCTACATCTCAAATAGCACTCCATGAGCAATCAACAGTCAACTGTATGCACCTTAGGTGGCAAAGCTTCTGGACCAAAGTCAGCCACCCCATCCCAAGCAACTGTTTTTAATATGGATAGATGAGGGACTCTTGGCTCATCACATCAGGCCTCTTCTTACCACAGTGCTCTACAAATCCGTACACTTTCCTAGATGGAATACCAGCCCTCTGAAGCCACTCAGACATCCTCCATTGCAAGGCTGTTCCCAAGCTACCATTATTCTCATAGTTAGGCTTTCTTTTGATTTCCATTCTAAACATACTCAAGTTCTACCCATATACCGTCTCTCATTGCTCATTAGCCTCAGTAGTCAATGGGCACCGATACACCTGACCCCACATGCCTTTTCAGAGACCCACCATGACCTCTTTATACTTTCCTCCTTGTAACTAAAGCCAAGCTCCTGGCCTCTGCCTTTAAGACTGCCTCTTAAATCCTACTATTGTCATACTAGCTCTGCTTTCCATTCCTTCAGGTTGATTTTCCTTAAATGTGGCTAACCAAAACTGCTTACAGGAGTGCTTACAGCACCCCAAATAGTTACTATTGCCTTGTACAACAGCAGTAAGTTTTTCCCATCTCTACTGGAAGCATTTTCCTGACATATCCTAGGATTATGTTTGCATTTCTCACAACTGCAACATACTGTGACTCAGTTACTGAGGAAGAAATGCACTGAGGCTTCACTAGTGAAGGGAACCAGTTTCTGGTATGTAAGGCTGCTGTTTGTTAAAAGTGCACAGCGACACTGCCCAGCGATGTAAGAACGGAAGTGAAGAGTGATCCATGAAATCCCTATGGAAGTGGGACTTCAGTGAGGTGACATGCAGCAGCTACTGAAGCTGGATGCAAGCCCAGAACATCAACATTAACAGTGCTGCTCTTGCATGCCAGTGCCCTAAGATCCTTCAAGCACTTGCTAGAAAAAAAACTCGCACTTTTTGTAGGACCAAATGCAGTCCGATTAGTCCTATTGCAGCTGCATTCCTCTGTCTGCAAACTACTGCAGGGCTGTGATTTGAACACTATTTTTCCTATGATGTCTTAAATTCAGACTGGAAGTAACACAGGCTAAACGAGACATTAGCATTTGCTTATACTAAGGCCGCCTTTTGCCTCTCAACGTATACTGAAGGAGAACTGCTATAAAGAATGATAGCTCAAGACAAAGCCAATTTCCAGAGTTACACTTCAAGAAGAAACACAAATTCAGTCCCAGGGAATAGTAAGCGTTGAACACAAGTTTAGAACCAACATCAGGGAGAAGAAGGGGGAATTCCAAGTTTCTTAATGTTGTAAGAATCTCAGTCTCATTCAACTTTAAATAGTGCAAGTCTCTCCCCAGAGGGATGTGCCTGACTGAAACAGATCTCGGCGTAACTGATAGCTAGGCTCAGGCTTATTGAAGGCATCTGGCATGCTAAATTTAGCTGTATCTGCAACTTGCAAAACTTACTGAGGTATTGTCAAACAGTCAGGAGAGGGAGCACGGGGGAGAAAAGGGCCCTAACAAATTAGAGGACTTCAGAGAAGGTTTGTCACCCGCTAAGCAGCCAACTAGCTTTATTGCTTCTATTTTGGCTTCCAAGTCAAAGCAGGAGTCTAGACAGGATAATCCACTCATAAAATAAAACCAAACCAGAGCTATGAAAGCTATAGACCTGAAGGGTGTGGCTTTGCTTAGATTCAACTCCAAAGCCAAAAGACCCTCTCTAGTGTGGTTTTTTTTTTTTTTTTGGGGGGGGGGGGGAGCGGGGTAGGGGGGTGTGGGGGAGTTTGGTTTTGTGGGTTTTTTGTGGATTGTTTTTTGGGGTTTTTTTTTTAAACAGATGAGCTGTCTTGCTAGGCGCACACGTTAGTCTAGTTCTTGTGGGCAGACCGGTATGTTTTCAATTATCTAGAAGATCTGTAGGCTGTAAATCTACTCTGCTTTCACTTGTCAGAAAACCAGAAGGATAAGTACAAGCCTAGCATGCAAAAAGTCTTACCAATTTGCTTCTGAGCCCCACTGATCTTCTTTAGCCCCACTTACTACTGCAAACATGTATTTGCATGACACTTGATACCCTGGCTGGAAGTTACCCCCAGCTGTGTGCTGGACTGTAGAAGGGGACAGTGATGTACTGAAGAAAGCTAAGCAATTTTAGAATCAGAATTAACAGAAGACGTTACTCAAGACTTGAGATTCAAATGTATCTCAGTGCAAATAGGTTTCACTGGCATGTGTTGTAATTCCCCGACACATATTTCAGACCCTCCTTGCCTATCTCCTTG